GTTGTTACTCTGATAGTTGCTATTACTGTTGTAACCGCTGTTGTTACGGTTGTTGCTATTGTTGTAGTTGCCATTGTGATTGCTACCATTGCTATCATTGTCGTTGCCATTGTATCTTCTTTTTGTTGTCCGTGGTTGCCACCATATTGTCCCGCCTTGGTCTTTTGTGTCTACTGCTCATAATCGGGTCTTCTATTCTCTAGGTTGTCCCTAGCAAATCTGCCGAGTTCTTTCTTCCGATTTAAATTAGCTTCTCAACAACCCTCTTGAAGTCTTCATTTGTTCTTGGGTTCTCATTGAAATAGTCCTTGTATTGCCGGTTTGCCCTGATTCCATACGCAAAGGCCTCTATCACCTCCCTATCGGTAATGTTGTGGACTTGAGCCCTCAATTCTCCAAATCTCCTATAGTATTCCCTTAGACTTTCTCCTCTCCTTTGCTTTACTCCTTTCAATTCGGATGCAGTCATTGGATGAGTAATAATGCCTACGAAGTTGTTGCAGAAAGCTTCTTGCAAGTCTTCCCAATACCTGATTGATCTTGGCCTCAATTTGTCAAACCATTGTAGCGGCATTGCTTCGAGGGCCATTGGGAAGAATAGAGCCTTGATGTCGTCGTCTCCTCCAGCTAATTCAATAGATTGGGAGTAAAGCCTTAGCCATTGTCTTGGTTCGACTTTGCCATCATACTTGGAATGATTTGCTGGTTTAAACTTGTGCGGTAGCTTTAAAGTTTGTAGTCTTCCTGCGAAACAAGGAAATCTGTCGTATGGTTCTGTTCTTCCGTAATCTGGTGATCTTGCCCTTCTGTAATAAGACCTGTCCCCTTTTAACTCAGACTCTTTGTAGTCATCTTCTTTGTCAAATCTTCTTGATATTTCTAGGTAGCGTTGGCTCAATTCTGGTTTGTCTCTTTCTTGTTACTTTGAGTAGTGTTCCTTCCTTCCATTGATATCAGCACTTTCTCTGGTCCCATCCTTTGAAAAATTGATTTTTGGGTGGTTGCTCCCTTTGTGGCTCTGTGGAATTTCTTCACGGGTTGTTTTTTTCCGATCCTCGACTTCTTTCTTCTTCGGTCTTCCTTTACTTTCCCGTTATTCATGAGGGTGTACAACTCCTTTGTTAATTCTTCAATTCTTTCCCTTTTGTATTTTTTGTGGCTTCTTTTTCTGCCTTCTTTCTATTGTATTCCGTTAGCTCCGCTTTGTATTTATTCCAGACTTGCTTCCTTTGTTTAGCCCGGTTCCTCCTTCCAGCTTTCAATTTGTTCTTCTTTAGTCTTGGTAGTCTTTGCTCATCATTTTCGTTGCTGTCGCTTTTCTCATCTGGCGAGATGTTGCCTTCTGATTCGTTTGAAGATTTTATATCTGGTATCTGTGGAGGTTCCAAAGGTTGTTCTAACGCGCTTCCGCCATGTATCTGAGATACCTCTTCCGAGCTCTTCTTGCACGGTATTCTATCCTTCGTTTGGTTGAGCTGTCTGTAGCTTCTGAACTGGATCCGAGTTCTTTTCCCTCTTGATAAGGTAGTTCTTCAACGCGCGTGCTAGTCTGGGCTTTGCTTGAGGTGAAAGAACCTAGCCAATGCACCACACAATCTTGTGGGGTCACTGTCATGATCATCCCTTCTTGTGCTCCCTCCAGGAGTATTCTTCTTACTGAGTTCATCTTATTTTGGGTAAAGTGTTGATAGATCGATGTTGTTCTGCGCAAATCCATAAGTTCCCAAGTTCTTCTTTGAGTTGTATGGGTCGTATCCCTTCGCGATCGTTGTTGTGTCTCCGAGTCCAATTAGGCTTGGCTCTTGTGCCGTGAAGATTGTCTTGGGATCGGGTTGTATCTCTTTTTAGAGTCGGTTTCGTATCCGCTTTCTTCCTTATTCCGAGTTGTATCCGAAGTTGAGAGTTTCGTCATCTTCTCAAATGAGTTTGTATTGAACTTCATCATTGAATTCTTTTTCTTCTCGGAGGCGGCACGAAGCTTGCTTGCGTTGCCGTCGACCTTGCAGATCCAGGATCCGAAGACAAAGGTTGTTCCCGCCGAAAAGGTCATCTTGAGGTTGAGATCCGCCGAACTCTTGAGAAAAAAATTCATCGAAAGCCCCAACCTAGCGCGCCAGCTGTCGATGTTTTATCACCGATAGCCTATCACGGGGGTATCCGAGATAGTTGTTCGGGCTTCGGCGAATAGTGGAACTCGGCGGTTACGCAAAGAGACTCACGATTTATACTGGTTCAGGCCCTCGACTTGGTCGAGTAATAACCTTACGTCCAGTTCGGCGTCAGCCGTTTGCGTCGTATTGCTTTGAGTATTGGGTATATTCAGTTGTTTATAAGGGATATCCTCACCAGCCCTTTATAGTCCAGGTGCTGAGAGGAGTTGTTTGTGTTCTACTTGGATACAAGGTCAGAGTCCTAAGCTATGCTTCGGGCGTCTTTCCTTGTATAGTCCGAATTGGACCCTGCACGTTGCTTTGCACCGTGTTCTTCTTGGCGATTAGGCTGTGGGCCTTGTTACCAAGGTCCACTTCCCTATAGTACGGTCTATGGGGGGCCCGTAGGGTTCCCCATCGACAATCATGAGAACAAATACATCTCTAACTATTTGGACAATAAGAGGGAGACACAATGGTAAATCCAAAGTTGCATAATGAAATTCTTCACCTCCAACCTATACCCTTGATATCCTTGACGACTGTCTAGTTTTGGTATGTCAAATCTTAGCGACGAGAGGTTTGATGCCTAGATAGATATTTGCACCGGATCTCTAAGAAAACAGGCCCAACGAGGAATCAACGAAGACGGTGCCATCAAGTAGCCCTTGAGACAAATTTATTCAATCTAAATCTTAATTACTACGACTAGACTGGACGAAGAAGACTCCATGCTTCTCTTCACCGCCGACGAGGCCGGTCACATGAGGAGAAGGGGACCAACAATGACGGTGCAGAGGAGCCTAACACTTCGGGAGGAGACTCCTGTGGCTCTGTGTATTCAAGACTATACTCCCTCTATCCACAAAAGTATACAATTTATGGAACCGTGCCGATCTTAAGTTTGACCAATTTTATATTAAATAATATTAACATATATGTCTTAATTTATAAAAATATATTGTATAACTAATCTAGTGGTACTTATTTTTGTCTCATGAGAGATGGGACATTTTTATATAATTTTAGTCAAAGTTTAAATTATTTGACTCCTCGAAAGGTAAGAATTGCATTTTTTTTTGTTGACACAGGTAGTACAATCATGTATGTTAATTTAACGCTAACTGAAAAGGTTAACATGGCAGAAATCATGTATGTTAATTTAACGCTAACTAAAAAGGTTAACATGGCAGCGACAAAAATAAAACGTCACAAAATCCAAAACTTGCAGTTGATCTTTGCTTAGACCTCAATTCTCCGCTCCGGTAACAGCCACACGGGCCAAATATTCCAGTTTTCCACCACACCTGCCTGCACCCACGTTCACCACGGCCCGGGTTATAAAGCGAGGCGACGGACGAGGGATCCCACCGGCCACGTGAGTGCGAGCTGGCGGCCCGCGGCCGTATCAGGCGTCATGTGAGGGGCGGGGTCGCCGCGGACGTGACGACTCCCCGCCCGTCCGCGCGCGGTACGGGTGGCGGTGGAGTCGTGGCCTGCACTGCACGGGAGTCCGGAGGTCAATGCAACGCAAAGCGTCAGGCGTGGCGCCGCGCGGCCGGCTTCGTCTCCGGCTCCACGCCTGCGCTGTGCGCACGTGTACGTGTGGGGTGAGCGCGACGAGAGCCCATGCCGCGATTCATCGAGCGGCGCCTGCTACGTGCTACCTGGCTCCGCCCGCCCGTGTGCCACGCCGCGTCGAGCTAGAGCAGTAGCGTGTGCAGGCGCGACGCTTTCGCGTCCAAGGCCACGTTTAGTTCGGCCGAATCGCTCCGTCGAATACACTGTAGCAACATTTATAAACCAACGGATAATAGCGTTTTGATTTTATTTGGTAATAATGCTTCTTTTAGCGCCGTCCATCGCTTCGAAAATATAATTGCGCTTAAAACGATGTCTTTAGAAAGACAAACCAATTCTGTAATTAATTTTTGATTTCGTCAACATTTAGTACTCCATGCATGTACCATAAATTTGATGTGACAGGAAATCTTCTTTTTATATAGGATCAAAGTTTGAAATTTGGGATGAACTAAACACCCCCAAATCATCCTAGCTACTAGTACTACTACAATGATTGTGAGAACGAAACCAGCGGACTATGTGGATACAAGTCGAGTAACAGGGGTGACGAATGCTCGAGAAAATGTTGGAGGCTCTGATGAGTGATAATAAGCAATAAAATAATAATGCTTCTTTTAGCGCCGTCGTGCCGATTTCCTTCGAATTTTCGGTGAGAGCAGGTACACAACGGGTAATGCACTTCGATGTCTTTCAGCGAGTGAGTGCTCTGTTTCCTCGCGGAGGGTGACACTGACACAGCACACAGTTTGTTGACAAAAAAAAAAGGAGAGAGATCTGGGGCTGGGGGTTTGGTCACGGTGCTCCGAACTTCGCTTCACGATCTCGATCCGACACGAGGCTCTGGCTCTCCGGTCTCCGCTAGCTTTTCTCCCGACGCGATCGATCAAAGAGCGCTTTCGCGTCTGAAAACGAACGAAGCGCACAGCACAGCACCGCAGAGAGTTCGAGCAAATTAGGCGGTATACATGCTATGCGCCGAACTTGCTTTCCGCCGGACTGGATTGCCTGCTCAAAATTAGGCGGTATACATGCTATGCGCCGAACTTGACTCGCGTGCAACGACTGGATGCACGCTTAGTATACGCGTACCATCTCTCAGGCTACGTGTAGTGCATGCGGTTCGGAGCTGCAATTCCAAGTCATGAAAACATGATGCTCAAACATAACGTAAAAAGGAGTGATATTCGCTTGATTAAATTAATCGACCTTCACTTGTTTTTTATTCGGGGAGGAATCATATTCTATCAGTGACTTTTGTAAAAAAAAATGTGTACATGGACCCTAAAAGATAAGTCATTTGGAGATGAACGTGCTGTTAATTCCGGCCTTCATACTGATGCCCAGCCCATACGGCCCAAATGGACAAGCAGCACATACCATCCATTCTTCCCAACAAAACTGGCAGACATCCGGCCCACGCAGCAACCCGCTATCGATAAGCACATCTCTTCTAGTCTTCTTCCCCGGAACCGACCGACCGCTCCATCCTCCATGGCTCCTCCGCCGCGGCGAAACCCGCCGCAAAACCCCACCCGGAGGAAGGTACGCGCGCGCACCATCCAACAAGCCCCGTCCTCGCCATAAGCTCCGGAACCCTAACTCTCTCGTCTACTCCCTGTCGCAGGGCGAGGAGCCGTGGCTCGCCGCGAGCCTGCGCCCGGCGAACTTCCTCCCGGGCCTCGCCATCGGGTTCCTCCTCGGCCTCCTGCTCGACCTGTCTTCGTCGTGGAGACCCAAGTCCAGCTCCCCGCCGGCTCCGGCCGCGGCACCCGCGCGGGGCTCCAGCTCCAAGTGGGCGTCGGGGACTTCGTTTGCCTCAGGCGGCGAGGAGCTTAAGATGGTAAGTTGCTCTGCGAGTGTACCGCGTGAGTATACGTGACGGGAGCTCTTCGTTGCTGCAGCTACTTGTACCGCCTACATCTGATTGATTTGGCTCCTAAAACTGAAACATCACCATTTGCCTTGCGCTTTATCGCTTCCGATACAATTCCATTGCGAGGATTTACGACGCTGGTCGTCTGAATTTTGTTTCAAGTATTGCTGCTTTGTTTGAACTTCACACAACTCTAGAGTTGAGCTCGCTCTCATTAATGTGCAGGTTTTAGTGGTACGCCAGGACCTCAAGATGGGGGCTGGGAAAATAGCTTCTCAATGTGCCCGTAAGTTCATCTCCAAGTGGACGCATGCTGTTTATTTGGTGCACATCTTTTTCTTTGCATTATCCATAGGTTTTTGTACTTCGCTAAAAAAAATGTATAACCTATGTGATTGCCTAATCTGCAACCGCCAAATCTTAGCCAGAGCAGCACTGAGCAGCACTGAACTTTTGCTATATGTACTAAACTTTTGAGCCAACTTACACCTCATTCGTTGCTAATCTCTTGCAGATGCAGCGACTGGCTTGTACGCAGAGTTGTTGTCAAGGTGTTAATGCGGTTTGCACTGTTTCTTCATTAGGTAGTTTTAGTTGGAGGATGTCTGATGTATATTTTTCTCTTCATAGGCATAAATATTCCTTTATAATGTTACTGTACACTATGTAGGCTTGAATTTGCGTAGATACAGATGCTGGCACTCATTGATTGATTTTGAAAAGCTTTGATTGAATAAATGCTGTTCTACTCATCAAAATAATGTCGAGTATATTTCTGCATGGGTACTGGGACCTTTCTTTATTGGATTGAAGGCTCACAAATTGTTGTAAAAAAAAAAGGCTCACAAACCATTTTATCTTGTCTGAGTAGCTGCTGAGTTTTAACTACTGGACACTGCAGCATTGTGTTGTCCATATGGCCTTAAGCCCTTAACACTCTCATCACCAATCTGTGGAGTCCTCGGACTCCCAGAGCTATGGCCCCATCACCCATCTCCAGAGCTAAGGCCTTAACTATTGCACCATCCATATGTGATCTTAAATACAGTACTGACTCCTTTTCTGTTCATTATGTTGTAAATCCTCCATACAAAAAGGTAACTGTTCAAACAACTAGTGGTGTGGTGGATGTAGACTGAATTGAAATTAAATGGATGGAAAGTGCAGGCTTCAGTAATCTTATTTTCCCACCCTTATATTTTCCTGTGAAGCCTGTGCCAAATAGCTATTTTATGTACCTTGTCGTCAGTATTTGGTGAAAACTGAGCTCCCCCAAACTCATTTGACATATCTTCTGCAGCAATCGGGGTTTACTGAGACAATGGGAGCAACTTGGACAAGCTAAGATTGTTTTGACATGCAAGAATCAACAGGAAATGTTAGTCCTTGCTCTCATAATACCTAAGTTTCCATAGAACATGTTTGCTTGGTGGTGATGTGTAAATTTGTATTTTACTTTATAAGCATGCTTGTTCCCCTGTGGTCTATTATCAGGAACAGGTTAAAGGAAACTGCAGAACATCGAGGTATTCCTACATTTATTGTTGCTGATGCAGGCCGCACACAGGTTAGTTTCATGCTTATGCGGATCTACCTACTTTGATACGTAAAACTAGCCCTCCTGTCAGCCTTCACAAAAATCAAGAAAACAATATCCTTCTAAATTTCGGATGGTTTAACATATCTAAGTGATTCTTAATTTGAAAATTAGTATTTCATTTATTGTAGATTGGGTAAATTTTTTTTACTAAAATGATATACTTCAACCATTAGTTCCATGCAAGGTTTTTTCATTCCAGATACTTAACTATTTTTGTGCCTATGTGCCATGTCATGAGTTTATGGTGTGCCATTTCTATCTTCTATGCACAGGAAATGGGCTGGCACGGACATCAATATTATCAAACATTCCTACTACTATTTAGTGTTTACCCTCATCGATTTTTTCCTTGTATAGGTGTTGGCTGGATCCAAAACAGTTCTTGCAATAGGACCAGGTTAGATTCTCAATCAGAAGTTCAGACTTAATTTTTTTTTTTAATCTTTGCAGCTATATTTTAAGTTGCAAGTTTGAACTGTATGTTGGAATTCGTGAGTCCCATATATTTCCCTTTGTTTGTCAATGCGACAAGAGTTTTTCATGACCTGAGGATTTTCCTTGAAATTACCTTGTGCAGGGAGGAAAGCTGACATCGATTCAGTTACTGGGAAACTGCGTTTGCTGTGATCTGCATCTCGGAGATGGTCAATCATCTGTTCTTCTGATTTCTTCATATGATTGTTTTACTGTCATGCCAACATATCTGATTATTAACTAGACCTCACATGACCACCAACAACAAAGTCTTTTAGTCCCAAGCAAGTTGAGGTATGCTAGAGTTGAAACCCAACATGAGCCCCTAGTCACGGTTCAGGCACGTCGATAGCTGCTTTCCAAGCACTCCTATATAAACAAAGATCTCTAGGAATATCCCAACTCTTTAAATCTCTTTTAATTGTCTCCCCTCATGTCAGCTTCGTTCGGTCTTCCTCCACCTCTCCTCACATTGGTATATCGATTTAGGATTCCACAATGCACTGGTGCCTCTGAATGTCACATTTGGACATGGCCAAACCACCTCAACTTATGTTGAATAAGTTTTTTTTCAATTGGTGCTACCCCTAGACGGTCACGTGTATCATCGTTCAGAACTCGGTCTATCCTTGTGTGACCACAAATCTATCGCAACCATCATGTTCGCTTGTTGGTTTCAGTCAGACTTATTCAACCAACCAACGGTGTTTTCCTCTCACAAAAAACCAGCACCAGCCAGCCCAAACCAGCACCAACCAGCGAACATGGTGAACATATGCATTTTCGCAACACTCAGTTGTTGGACATTTCGAGCCCTTTCAAAAATCATAGTAGCAAAAGTACTTGATTATTTAAATCCCATCTTAATACAGCTATCCGAATCACTTAATGTGGATAATTACTGCTAAAATGGGCTTTATGTTTTCTCTCTCTCCAGAGTATTGTCTTTCCACTTGAAGAGCCCCGCGGTCTCGTTTAGCATGAGAAACAGTTGCCTGCTCGGGTTGGTTGTAGCCGTTTGAAGGTTAACCTGATGATTATTCGTGGAAGTTTCCGTTTTTAGGTGGCCCATTTGAAATGCCATTGTTTGTAACCATGTATCCATCTTGTTGTATTTTTATGTCTGAGAAGTATTTGTAGTTTCGGATTAGGTATCATTCCACTCTAAGGAAGGGATACCTGGACCTTGTGCCAAGAGGAAACTTCAAGCATGTCTTAACTCTCGTGTAGAGGGCATGGTAGCCTTTCTTGTCAAACATTCGTAGCATATCAGTTGCATTTCTGTAGGATGTTGTGCGCGCCTTCCCAGTTCCTTCAAAACGGCAGGGCACGCAGGTTTCCTGAACTATAATGAAGTGTTCCTGCTGATTCTTTCCTCGACCGTGCGAGATTCCACGAACGGAACTCGATGTACCTTCTCAAGTTTGCATGTTGAGAAGCAAAGAACTTACTTGGATCATACGTTGCGTCGCGAAGAGTCGCATTAAGTTTGTACACACTCCGGTACTAGTTCAGAACTTGGGAAATATGCCTTTCAAACCAATGAAAACTTTGACAATATGCAGAAGTTCACAACAGCTAGTATGACCGTACGAGTCCTGCTGCATTGGAAGTTCCGCAAGTCAATGTGAATTCGGGCTGGCCCGTGCCAATTTCCAGCCTCTCAAGGCACGGAGCGGCCCAATAAAGGCGAGCAGCTGCAACCAGGCGAAGGCATCCGCGGACCTCAAGGACGCTCCACGCTCGTCGGCCACCTACCAACGCTCCCCGGCCTCCCCCCCGCAGGCCCCGCTTTCCACTGCAGCAGCCAGCAGGGCCAGCAGGAGGGAAAGGGCGGACCAACTCCGAAGCCCAAACCCTCAACCCCCAGCCGCGCCCGCGCCCGCCCCCGCCCATGGCCTCCTCCTCCTCCCACTCCCTCGCCGCCTCGCGGCGCGGCCGCAGCGCGCGGCAGGCGCCCTTCTTCCGCGACCTCGCGACCCCGATCCCGTCCCACCGCGGCGTCTCCCGCTTCGCCTCGGGGGCTTCCCCCTCCGCGGCCCCCTCCGCCACGCTGCCGCCGCCGCCCATCTTCACCCTCGACGACCGCTACGCCGCCGCGGACTTCTCCCCGGACCCCACCGCCTCCGACCTCCTCCCCGTCGCGTCCTCCCCCTCCCCCCGCGCCGCCGCCAGCCGCTCGCCGCCATGGAACCTGTCCCGGGGCAAGGTGTCGCTCTCGCCACCAGGATCCACCATGGATGGGGTCGTCGAGTCGGCTCGGAAAGAGGTGCTCGCTTTGCCGCCGCCCGCGAGCCCTGGCGCCCCACCTCCTGCCACGACAGCGGAGGCGCAGTCACCGGTGTCCCCCGCGCAGGCACCGGCTAGGACGGAGCCAGTGGCGAACGGAGGGGAGGTCGAACGGGAGGAGTGGGTCACTGTATTCGGGTGAGCAAATATTACTTATGCTTTGTTTTGTACTGGATTATTAGTTTATAAATGTGTTGGCAGACGCTTATGAACACGGTAGATTTGGCTAGGAGGCTATGATAAATGTTTATCGAGTTGACACGCTCCTGCATTTTCGTGCTCCCTCCCTCAGTCCTTCGGCAGTTATTTGCTAACCCCAAATTGTAGGCGCCTTGTATGATAAATTGATTCAGTTCTGTCTTCTGTTGGTGCTTTTTCTACAGATTCTCTATTGGAGATACCAACCTTGTTCTTCGGGAATTCGAGAAATGTGGAGTAATATTGAGACATCACTCTGGTCCAAGAGATGGAAATTGGATCCACATATTGTATCAGGTAATGATACATTTAACTACTGTTGTGCTTCCATTTTCTGTTCTACCATTTAAATTTAATTTCATGTACCCAGATTTCACAGAGTAGTCATACTAGCTCAGGCTGCTCTGTAGCTTACCAGCGAGTTTAGTTGCCAGTGAACTGAAACAACTACATAAGCTGATTTGGGCTCCCCCATTAGGTTGAATAATGTTCTTGTACCGTTTTAATATAGTGTCAATTTTTAGCTGCACAATATCAGCACCAAGTTTTATCCCCGTATGTAAATGACGTGGCATATGGTTTTGGTTATCCCTTGAACCTGAAGCATATAGGTAACTTAGTCCTGGTCTCCTGGATAGGTTTTTAGCATAACATGCTCAAGGTCACAACTTTACTTATGAATTCTCTAAATTCATAAAATGATGCATTGTTATGTGTCTGCTGACGATGGGTTTACAAATATCCTTGAAAGATGCTGGAAAACATATAGAAATGTCATGTGCTTTCTGAGTTCCCTTGGCACAGCCAAGTTATGAGGCTTATCCAAATAGCAACTCTTCTGAGCTCTTGTTGTCATCAGGTCTTCAGGTAGTTCTTTTGTTGGTAGTGTCAGTTTGCTTTATGTATTTTTAAAATAAAAAACGTGTATGGTGGTCACTATCAACTCTACCTTTCTAGATGTATTGTTCCTATTGTTATTTCTGATTCTCTTAATTTTGAGATGTTAGCATCTCTGTTTATTTGACAATATTGTCAGTTCTGTTCTTTACATGCATCATAGTAAATGTTTCTACATTACTATGTGATAGTCCTAATACTGACAAATTTCACCATCATGTATGTGGTCCTGAAGCACTCTTATGATGCTCGAAAGGCCCTTCAGAAAAATGGTATCCAACTAAGCAGCGGTCTGATAGTTGGAGTAAAGCCTATTGATGCAGTGCACCGGCAGCAGCTGGACGAGAGTTTCGCGCGAAGCAGTCAAGGTGGATTTATGGTTTCCTTGCCTTCAAAGTCACTTGGCTTGAAGAGCACAGGTGCATCGCACCAGTTAGGAGCCTTGCCCCGCCCGTATGACCCTAAAGCTAACACTAATGTTAGCCGAGATGCAGGCCGTCGTGCAACTGGCAGCGTTGCTGCACCAGCAAAATCAATTGTAACTAATGTGATGGATTTGATATTTGGCATCTGATATGCAATGAGGACCAATGCATCCGGGACCTTCTCTGTTTCTTCTGTTTACTTGTTCGAGAATGCCAGCATTCCAAAAATTCAGCAGCAAATTTTGCTGAAGTTTGAGAGCTTACAGAGTGAACTTTCTTTCAGTGATGTAACATTAAAATTATGCAATTTTTCACGTTTATTGTACTTATATGGTATATCCATATGAGGACAGTTGTATGTTAATGGCAATGCTATAGCTCTTGTTGTGGGCGATTTTTTATATTTTTTACTCGTTCGTGTATTTTTTTTCTCTCCCGTCGTTTAAGTGTTACCTTGCTTCTGCCTCTCCCTCGGAAGAGGTGCTGCTGTAATTTTCGAGAAATCATATATTGCTCTCAGGCCAATCCAAATGAAAGGTTTCATTTTTTTCCCAAGAGGTTCGTATCATCTAGAATGCTCAGTTAACGAAGGAAACACTGGTCTCATACTAAATAGTGTTATTTTGTGGCAAGGTTTCTTTTTTTGCTCTTTCGGTTTCCAAAAGTGCTACATCATCTAGAGTGTTGTGTTTTTGAGTTAGAGTGAAGTGTCTCCGGTGAATTGTGTTATTCACCTGTTCGCTTGTTGGTTTCAGCGAGGCTTATTCAACCAGCCAACAGTGTTTTTCTCTCATAACAAACCAGCACCAGCCAGCCTAAATTAGCCCAGAAACCAACCAGTGAACACGCCGATTTTGTTGTTTCATGGCTTGGTAAATTGTAATGCACTTCCGGATGAAACGACGCTAGTTTCATAAGGTTTCAAGGTCTTAGGAAACATTATTACTCGCGGCTTCACCTGAATGACAGTCCATTATTTTTTTTGTCCTATTCTTTTGAACTTATCATGGTACTGTGTTTTTTTTCCCAACAAAACAAATCAGTTGACTTATCAACCGTAAAACCATCGGCCGAACCTTTCTCTCTTTCATATATAATAGTTCGGGTTTATCCGCTCACGTTTTTTCTTTTTTATGAAAAAGTGCGCTCATGCAGTCACGCTACTGGATTGCATTTTTCTTTTACCGTTTTTTACACCAAAGGTGTTTCTTGTGGTCCCTAGCTGTTTGCGGCTATCTGATTGGCTAGTGTGCTGGAAAACATGTCATCGAACCAATTAGGAGGAACCTTCTTGATCTTGACTAAAAAAGAGAAATCGAATCCTAACCCATGGATGAAAATACCAACGGTCTTGATTGTCTCTTCCCTCAATTTTTCATATTAGCCCTAGGATTCTTATCATCGTGTCTCGTTTTCTACCTTTTGCAATTTATTATTCTAAAAAAACCATCTATTTTCATCTCTTCGACAGTTCGATGGCCACAAATAAAAGGTCTGTTCACTTCTGCTTACAGCTGAAGCTGCTGCAGCTCTTGCTACATTGACGCGCAGCTGGGCTGTACCAGCAGCTGCAGCCACAAAAGCGGGCTGAAAATTTTGTGACTTGATTATCTCAATAAAAATATGGGGTTTATGAACAGAATAAATTTAATAAATATTCAAACTAAATGAAATCACAGTACTATCATTAGTACAACGACGAACACTGTGTGTATGTATATGTATATACGGTAGGCTGAAGCGGCACACAATCACACAACTTTGCAGGATGTCTGGCAGCCGGGCACCGTGCCGTGCATAACCCCGTTCCGACAAATAACAGCGTTCCCAGGGGCGTACTCGCAAAAAGTGCAATAAATCCCGAGTCGTAGCACGGGTCTGGAGCACCCAGTTCACGATCGCGAGGTCTTCGTCTCCGCCTGGGTCCAGCACTGGGATTTCCGCGCCTTCCACCCACACACACCCCAAAGGACGCAGGCCGCAATGGCGGAGCCCGAGGTCTCCCCCGCGGCGGCCAGCGGCGGCGGGCGGCTCCGCAACGCGTTCGGGGGCGTGCTCTGCGCCATCACGCTCCTCCTCATCGGCGTCGTCGCGTTCTCGATCCGCCTCTTCTCCGTAAGATCCGCTTTGCCCCCCGAGCCTCCAGATCCAGTTCGGTGCTCGCAAAGCGCTCATCCCCGAATTTTGTGTGCTCATGTGTTATGCCTGCTGGCGCGCAGGTCATCAAGTACGAGAGCGTGATCCACGAGTTCGACCCCTACTTCAACTTCCGCGTCACTCAGGTTTGATTGCTTGTTCCATTCATTTAACCTTTTCCTTCTGTTCTGCAGTATATGGAATTGAGCTAACTTGCTTAGAAGGTTACGGTGCTATATTGATGCTGAGTTTCGGTGTTGGGAGGGTTTTGGGTTTTGGAAATTAACTCTTGTGCCCTGTCTGCTAGATTTAGTTTACTATGAGATAATTAGTGGAAAGATAAAGGAAGTGACGCTCACTTGGAGGCATAAATTGTTGGCTGAAACAGTTATCTGTGACATCTGGTCTAAATTTCTCCTTGTTACAGTTTTTGTCGAAGAATGGAATTTACGAGTTCTGGAACTGGTTTGATGATAGGACATGGTAAGAGCAGCAGCTCCAATCTCTCAGTCATTTAGTACTGCGCAAATTCTGTGTAAAAGGAATCATTTACTAGGCTGATTTCGTTGCTGCTTCTGCTGGTTTAGGTACCCCCTTGGCCGTGTGATTGGTGGCACTGTGTATCCTGGTTTGACATTGACTGCTGGAACTATTTGGTGGTATGCCATCACGGGACACAATTTACCGTCTTACATTTACATTCTTCTGATTAGATGTGCCTAAAGTATTTGAATGGTCCACTAGGTTGCTGAACTCTCTTAACATCCCATTGTCTGTGGAGACAGTTTGTGTGTTCACAGCTCCAATTTTCTCAGCAAATGCATCATGGGCTACTTACCTGTTAACAAAGGTTCGTTTTCAAGGAAGTGTGAGTTATCACATTATTCTTACCCATTTGCAAATTCTGTGCTTACTTTGACTTCTGCTATAGGAAGCGAAGGGTACTGGAGCTGGATTAATGGCAGCAGCCATTTTGGCAATGGTAAATTGTGCTAACGACTCCCCTACCAATTTTGACCAAAATTAAAGAAAAGCTAAATTGGTACAAACTTGTTTCCTTGCTTTATAGATATTTAGCCATTTTCATGTCATGATGTAAATGGAAATAAGAATTCTCTTTAATCAAACCAAATCTATTGTCATTCATTTCAGCTTTATATCATCCGTGTATGGTGTAGCAAAGATAAGTGTTACATTTTGCAATACTATTTATGATTGCTGATTTCTATATCCTAAACATCTATTTTTAAAGTAAATGAGAAATATTATTGAATGACTGAATCTGTGTTTTGTTGAACCTGGGTACTTGACAATTGGAGTTTCCTCAGATACTCGATATTTTTTTTTTCTTATTACAGGATTTTGTTAATGCTTCCCAATTGTAACACTTCATTCAGATAACACCAAGATGTTAATTTCTAGCTACTTGCCCACTTCTTAGAACATTGTATTATCTATGTGTGTAGTCTTCCGTACTCTCCTAGTACCATATGATTAATCAGAATGTTCTTGACATCATCTCAGGTCCCCTCATATATCTCAAGATCTGTTGCAGGCAGCTATGATAATGAAGCTGTAGCAATATTTGCCTTGATATTTACATTTTATCTATATGTAAAGGTAATGGTGCTCAAGATATGTTTTCCATTTTGCTTCTTTGACATATGCAATGCTCTGACTTGTTATGCATATACAGACGCTGAACACGGGATCGCTCTTTTATGCAACACTCAATGCTCTCTCATATTTCTACATGGTAAACTTGTTGAATTTTGATCCATGTTTTTCGAATGTACTTTGTAATCATATACTAGGCTTTTCTAGGTCTGCTCTTGGGGAGGCTACACATTCATTATCAATCTTATCCCAATGCATGTCCTCTTGTGCATTGTAACTGGTCGTTATTCTTCGCGGCTCTACATTGCATATGCTCCCCTTGTGAGTGCATAAGCTTCCTCTTGTTGGCACACTCTTCTTTCTAGAGTGTTTGTCCAGAACTGTAACTTACCAGATTCATGGATCATTTTGCAGGTTATACTTGGAACGCTTCTGGCAGCATTAGTACCTGTGGTTGGTTTTAATGCAGTGATGACCTCTGAGCACTTCGCATCATTTCTGGTATCTACATTCCTTCTCCTTTCTTGTTTTTTCTCCATTCCGCAGTACAATATGGCTGCCAACTCTTTCAAATGTTTTGCATCTTGAGGCTGGTCTTTGAAATTTGAAAACTCATGATTTCTCAAGTCCAAAAGGTGTTGGAGTAACATAAAATGCATTTCCTAGATGCTGAGGCCAAATACAACCATGCATTGACATTATTGATTGCTGTTCATATGTAGCATATGTACAATAAATACTTCCCTCATTTTACAATATTTGTCCAACTACACTGCACAGTGTGCACAGATCAAGAATCTCTATATAAGTAAATAGGCCTTATCATTGCTGTTGTATTAAAGAAATGCAGAATGACAGGATACCTTTATTGCAGGTGTTCATAATTCTTCACGTAGTTGCTCTTGTGTATTATATCAAAGGGCTTTTGACTCCTAGGCTGTTCAAAGTTGCTATGACTCTTGTCATCTCTGTTGGCTTGTAAGTCCCTGAAGTTACCAATCTTTTATAATACACAGGATTAATATCTTTGGACCTTGAAAGTTGAAACCAGCAAGAGCCTTGTCCTCTGAATATAAATATCTCAATCTTTATCGTCTCAATGTCCAAATGCTGATTGCAAGATCCTACCTGCAGAGCTGTTTGTTTCGCAGTAGTAGCCATACTTGTCGCCTTGGTGGCATCTAGTCCAACGAAAGGCTGGAGCGGCCGCAGTTTGAGTCTACTTGATCCGTAAGTTCTTCGAATAAAAACTCATTTATTTTGTGATCAGACTATGACTGACCTGACTCGGGGTAATAAACATGAAATAACACTATTACTCCCTCTGTCCTAATATACAAGGCGTAACCTCTTTTTATTCAAGTCCCATAATATAAGGCGTGCTCTATCTAGACACATGTACATCGATGCAGTAATACTACTGTTGAGAGAGATAATTAAATACGTTCCTTGGTCTTTGAACCAGAGGTGGTTACGCCTTGTATACTGGGACGGAGGGAGTAGGTTTTAGTGTAGCTGGTGAAATGGTGTTGACATTTAATGCTTAGGCTCTTAGACAAATAAAAGTGTATATCGGCATCGCTATTGCAACATCTTATTTTCCGTTCTGGTGTTGCTTTTTGTATGTAGCGTCCTGTTACAGCGTGTTTGTTCTGCTTCTCTTCTCATATTAATCGCTGCAATTTCACTCTTTTCTGACAGAACTTATGCAAGCAAGTACATCCCCATCATTGCTAGTGTCAGTGAGCACCAACCTCCTACCTGGCCCTCTTATTTTATGGACATTAACGTGTTGGCCTTCCTGATTCCTGCTGGGATTATTGTAAGAACTATACTTTGTTAATTAAAACTGTACCAGCAACAGTCTTAGTTCTGATTAATCGATATTCACATGATCCACAGTCATGCTTCTTGCCTCTGTCTGACGCAAGCTCCTTCATGGTCTTGTACTTGGTCACTGCAGTGTATTTTTCTGGAGTTATGGTAAGAATCCTTGCAGTAGGAAGAATCTCGTGCACCCTTTTTTTCATTATTTACTTATAACTTTCTGTGGCATCCATGCTTTGCTAGGTACGGCTTATGCTTGTCCTTGCTCCTGCTGCGTGCATTTTATCTGGGATTGCTCTATCTGAAGTTTTCAGTGTCCTCACACGATCCATTAAATTTCAGCTGTCAAAATTTTTTGATGACAGCCCTACTTCTGTATGGTTCCTTCTTACATTTTTTTTCTTTGTATTAGAATCAAAGTACCAATCCAATCACTTGTTGACAACCTGTTTTCTTCTGAAACTGAAGTCAGGTGACAGTAGCCCAGAGAGTTCTACAAATTCAACAAAAAATGAAAATAGGAATGAAAAATCTGAAACGGCTCCAAAGGAAAAACCGTCAAAGAAGAACCGGAAGAAGGAGAAAGAATTAGCAGAAAGTGTTACTGTAAAGCCTAAAAAGGAAAAGAGGCTTTTGGTTCTTCCTTTTGAATTATCTGTTATGGGTATTTTGTTGCTGATCGTGTTAGGTGGTTTCTATGTGGTAAGTTCTCTGTTGTTAGTCTTACCAGAATGAATGTCTTCATTGAAAGAGAGGCAATCTTACTGTTAATGATTCCATTTTTGTAGGTCCATTGTGTATGGGCGGCAGCTGAAGCATACTCCGCTCCTTCAATTGTGTTGACATCTCGTTCACGGGATGGATTGCATGTTTTTGATGATTTCCGTGAAGCTTATGCATGGCTGAGCCATAACACAGATGTTGATGACAAGGTATGCTCACCCCTTGATTTCTGTTGTTTGTGGACTGACTTTTATACTTACACATTAAGGTGTTGCACTGCAGGTTGCTTCCTGGTGGGACTATGGTTACCAAACAACTGCAATGGCCAACAGAACTGTGATTGTAGACAATAACACCTGGAACAACACTCATATAGCAACAGTTGGTACAGCAATGTCGTCCCCAGAAAAAGCAGCTTGGGAAATCTTCAATTCTTTAGATGTCAAATATGTGCTTGTTGTCTTTGGAGGTTGGTGCTTTATGGCGCATAGGAGGAAAAAATCCAATGTAATTTGGACCATTGGTCTCAAATCCTGACACAGATGTTTCTTTAACAGGACTTGTTGGATACCCTAGTGATGATATCAATAAGTTCCTTTGGATGGTACGCATAGGAGGTGGTGTGTTCCCTCACATCAAGGAACCAGATTATCTTGTGAGTTGTGAACTCCAACAACGCCCTATACACATCATTTTGGTAGCATAATAAGGGGGGAAAGGTGAAATATGCATGCATTTGCATAGTTCTTTCTTTATTCTGATTTTTGAGTAATGTTATTGGCAGAGGGATGGTCAATACCGCGTTGATGCTCAAGCCACTCCAACTATGCTGAATTGCCTCATGTACAAGCTTTGTTATTACAGGTCTGGTAAACTGAATCAAGAAGACTGATTTTAGTTGGAACGTCCAATCATCACAAATGTCCTTTGTGTCCTCTAGGTTTGTGGAGACCGATGGAAAAGGCTTTGACAGAGTAAGAGGATATGAAATAGGAAAGAAGCATTTCAAGCTAACACATTTTGAGGAGGTATTATGATGTTACTCTCTGTTCCAATTGGCAACAGTTGATTTTTCATCTATTATACTAACTTGAACCTTTGCTTTATGTTTACCCATCTTGATGCTGAATAAAGGTATTCACAACCCACCATTGGATGGTCCGCTTATATAAACTGAAACCCCAGAAGAACAGGGTTCGAGGCAAGTTGAAGAAGTCGAAGGTAAGTCTGACAGACCTACTGTAGTTATATATATGTCTCATTCTTTTTTAGCCCATTCTAACACGTTATATGCTTGGTTTTGTACCTGCAGAGTGCCAAAACTAGTTCCACACTTGCGACAGGGCAAAAGAAGAACCCGTGGCAATAGACGAAGTTAACAATAGTGCCATTTACTTGATACTTGGTTCTAGGTCAACTGCACTAGGTTCGTGAACCAGAAAACCACAGAACTAGATTAGAGATCTGCACTGTTGTATTTGGCTCTCGTTATATGTTCTTGCAACCGGCCAGAGTGCTGATGAAATTTTTGATAGACCAGAGGAAGTTTATCTATCCCATGGGTAGAGATTGGATGCTGAATTTCTTGGCGAAAGGGTTGCTTAAACTCCCAGTGTACTTGCTGTTTTGTGTAACCTACAAATTCTCTTACAAGTTGCTCGGATGATAGTGAGTTCCGGCATCTGAAGTAAACACAGAATGCTGTCAAGGAACTTGCGTGGCGGCTCGGTGAAAGTGGTGCGGATAATTTCCAATCTGATGAGATCTGCCATTGAATCCGGTGGATATTGAAACGGGCAGAAAGATTGTTTGTTCCACGTACTTTATATTCCTCGTCCCAGACCTGCTTGTCATAGGAGCGAAGAGCACATTTATTCATTTCAATGCTTTAACAAATACCAATAAATGGATTGGCGTCATCGTATTATTTTACAATGACTTCTCAGATCTGCTTTCTGAACATATAGCAGATCATTATTAGCAAAAGAGAGAGAGAGAGAGAGAGAGAGAGAGAGAGAGAGAACATATAGCAGATCACTGGTAAGTTTCCCAACAGGATGGGCTGGGCAAAAACCCAAGGTATAAACATAAGTTTGAGATGTGCCTCAGTATCAAAAATTGCTGGATCACTAAGTTTTTGGGAACTCAGAGCCGATGATGCTCAACTAACCAGGCATCACAAGCAGACCTATCAATTTTTTTTCCCCATCAATGAAAAGTGAATATCCTGAAGGGCGGGCCTGGTGCAAATGATAGAGTCTTACCGCCTGTGACCGAAAGGTCCCGGGTTCGAACAAAGAGACCCATCCTGGACCCGTTACCATTAGAGGCGGGACCTCTCCTTGGGACGCCCTTTTCTTGAATATACTCCAACAAAGACCCATGGGCCGAGCGTGTCTTGAATTGCGAGCTGTAATTCATGAATTCACTCATTTTTGGTCTGTATAGACGGCGTCAACGTCATCAAGCTCTAGCAATTTTGAAACAAGTTCCTTGTTTAGTTCCATGGCCTCGTCGTCCACCTGCAACAACAATATGGAAAGTGTCAGATAATATATGACACTCCTAGGAACTAAAAGAATGGACATTTTGCAAGAATAGAATCCAAGGATAACTTGGTAACGGCCAATAGAATCCAATGGACATTATGAATTGCAACTTGACAATAAAAAAAGGAAAACAGTGTACCTCAATTGGGTTCAGAGGAAGAAGTTCGTAGCCATTATCAGTTTCAAACTTCAATCCTTCTTCTTGTAGCTTCGATAGCACAACTGGATAGTTTTCTGATGTAGTAACTATCTTGTAGAACCTTAGGATAGAAAGGGGCAGCTTTCAGACATAAGGAGAATCCAAAGGAAGTTTGCTTATATTAAAATGCAGTAAACAAGAAAGGAAAGCACCAGATATAACATAGAATTTGGTACTATCATACAGCAACCTCAATAACCATTACTAATAAGTACAAAACTGGTGACTTCATTATGTTCTCTGACTCAGAACACAGCTTTCCTGCGCCTTTGGAAAGTTACTCATAACTTATTTTGTGTTAACTGGTACTTATATTTGTGTTAACTGGTACGAGAAAATCCAATGAGAAAAATAGTGGATTGGGGAGGATAGGTCTCCCCTTTATTTGATGAGGTGGGAGGCTATGATTTGAGAGACTGAGAAAAAAAAATCTCATTAGGATTGGGTTTGGGGGAACTGTTGGAGCTACAAGATCTCTAAAATAACAGTTTTTTCTCGTTGGGGTTAGGAAAGAGGCTGCTGGAGATGCTCTAAGTAGATAGGGAAGCTGATGTTGGCCAGGTATGGCCCTGTTAATGGTAGGTAGTATGGCTGGTATGGCCACAGTTCTTGTCATGCTTCCCATCTTCTATACTGCTCATTTCATCCTGTCCAACAGTCCTATGACATGTTGTCGACTCATTTGTTGGGCAGCAGTACAGGCGACAGCATGCACGGCCACCAGGCTCAGACCGCGTCTAGGGGCTGAGTCGGTTTAGGAAGAGGTCTTCAAGGGCATGCACGAACACCAGGTTCAGGGGCATGCACGGCCACCAGGTCGTCTAGGGGCTGAGTGGTTTAGGAAAGCTCTTCAGGGAGTGATTTTAGGAGATTGACCAGACCGTGGCTAAAGGGCTGGGTCTGTCTAGGGAAAGGCTTTTCAGGGAGTGATGTTAAGAGATTTGCTTCACTATTATTAGTAATGTGCACCTGAACTATAAAGGGCACCTTAGATTGTGTAATAAGGATTATCGAAGAAGGAATAGAGGCAGGCGGGTTTTCCCCTGCGATGGTGGCTGTCGGCGATTCAGCCATGGCCGCCAGCGACAAAACCACCGTGCCATTGCCTCGCTATCCTTTGAGTTCTAGCTCTCAGTCTCATCTACTCCATTCGCCCCTACGCTCTCCACATCGCCAGCGCCGCATCAGACATGAGGCTAATAGTAGATAGGAAAGCAGCGAAAGCTGATGTTGGGCAGGTATGGCCTTGTAATAGTAGGAAGTATGGGCACAGTTCTTGCCATGCTGACTGGTATGGGCTTAGTACTAGGTGTACACCTATTGTACTAGAGTAGAATTTGTATATAATCAAGTTCAAGGACCAGCTGTATCCTTAGTTCAGTAGCAGCAGCACTCCCGTGCGTGTGTGTGTTCGTGCTCTATGTTCTCTCTTCTGAACTAATCCAGCTCTTAGTGCACCCCCCCCCCCAAAAAAAAAAGGAAAAAGAGGAAAAACTAATCCAGCTCTCAAGTGTGTGTGTGAGAGAGAGGCTGAGGATCTGCACCTGATTGCCGGCTAGCACCTTCATTAGTGTTCTAGTAAACAGTGTTGCATCAAACAAAAATGCATTCAGCAGTGTACGAGCATGTACCTTTCTGCTTCTTCTTCAGAGACGTCATCATCAAAATTTGGTTCAAGGACGTCATCAGCACCAGCATCTAGCGCAATGTTGAGCAGTTGGTTCTTATCTGCATCAGTAACTTTTATGTTCACCACTCGAGCTTGTCTGAATCTAAAGGTAACAGATCCAGGATCAGCCAATTTTGCTCCGCAATCTTTTACCACATTTCTAATGTCAGCAACTGATCTTGTAATTTTGTCAGTTAGAACTTCAACGACCATACCTACTCCACCAAAACCATAGACCTGTGAAAATTCTTCATGCACTTAAAACCTCTGTAAACCACATAAAAAAGTGATATGTATTCTAAGTAACTCGTACTAGTTCCAAATTATATTTCACTTTAGCTTTGTCCCAAGTCAAACTTCTCTAACTTTGACCAAGTTTTTAGAAAAAAAAAACTATTAAAATCTACAAGTTCAAGTAAATGCACTATGAATATATTTCACAGAGAATTTAATGAAACTAATTTGATGTTGTAAATGTTGATGCATTTTTCTATAAACTTGGTCAAAATTAGAGAGATTTAAGTGAACTATAACTTGGAACAGAGGGAGTAGCGTACAAGCCTACTCATATCTGAACAAACCATTTATTATGTGCATGTAAATATAGTATATTTGCCTTTGAGATGAGTTATCGTATATCGTAAAATGAGAATCTATTAATAAAGTATAATATCAAACTAGTGGCAGAGAAGTTTACCTCATAAACCTTTTCTGTGTAAGTATCTTGTCCCTTTTCTGATGCCCTTTTGATGTTGCGCTCTAAAATTTCTTTAGGGACATCAAGTTCCCTTGCTTTCTCTAGTATAGCTGCTAAAGTTGTGTTGGATGAAGGGTTTGGGCCACACTTCTTGATGCTGTGATATACATAAATGAACCAGATTAATTTAAATGGATGGCATTTGAACTCTGATGCTTGGTCTTGTCCGTTGCCATTCCATTTTAACAAGGCCTACCACTTGGTAAGATATAGTGATACTCACTTCAGTGATATTACGCAGGCAATGTCTAATTACAGAATACAATCACAATACCTTCACAAGGCAATAACATGCTATGCTACAAATGTCCAATTATTTAAGTTTAAACTACCAAAAAGGTAAAACATCCTATGCTTTTAAAAGAGGACATGCCAACAGATACTAGCAGATGATAGCATGTTGGATTAACCTTATGCTCAAAACAATCCAAATTAAGAAATCAATGAAATACCAAGCTGTTAGAATGATAATGCAAGATGCCAAGATCACAGTGTCCAGCGACACCTACGCGGCAACAATTTCTTTTCCAATTTTGCTGTTGCGCTTCATCTTCTTCAAATTCTGGGCATCCTGAATCAAAGAAACAACAGGTGTGAGGATACATATTGAGACGTTAAAGCTAACTACATTTTATAAACAAGAAACTAAAGCTACTTCCTGTTTTTAGCTTTTCCCTACTCAATTATCCTAATGGAAAGTAAATTACTTAGCAGCAAAAGCTAGCTCAGATCCTCAGAGACAACCGAAAATTCGAAACACATTGATATTTGTTGCTGCATCCATGTCCGTTATTCCAAGCAGAGGCTTCCCCAACCAGAATATGCACAGCCAGTGGTCCCGAACTTCGAATTACTGTGACACTGCGCAGAAGATCATGGCAAGAGCATATCACCTTCCTTCCAGCGATTTTGCAGGAGCGTCGTCCCATGCAGAGCGGCTGGAACGACGAAATCCGCCGCCTCGCCGCATGCCTCTGGAACAGGCCGGCGCTGCCAATAGGTCGATCCCCTGATAGCACCAGGAAAACAATCAAAACGCTAGACATTTCAACAGTCCAATAGAACCAGATCGGCGGAGAGGAGAGCGCGCGAGCACGAGTGGGTTACCGCGGAGGAGCGAGGCTCCCCGGAGAGCGGAAGCGGAGGAGAACAGAGACGAGGTCCTGTGGAGGAGCGCCCCCAGAGCACGCGCGGCGGACGCCATGGTACCCTGGTGGGCCGGTGCCGCAAGGAGAGTAAGCTCGCGCGGCAGCTGCTCGACGAATTGCTGCGCCCGGGTGGTGGGCTGCAGTGGGCGGGCCGCCGCCGTGGAAAAAAAAATGAAAAAAACGACCCTCGAAATCTCGACTACAATGACACTCGCAAGTGGGTTCATCTATGTCTATAAATATGGTCCAGTGTCAAATCTATAAACGATCGATGTTTCGAGTCCCATTTTTACAAATCGCCCGCTGCCGCGGTGGTGAGCTAGGCGTGCACTCGGCTAGCCGGCTGAACGGATCGGATGGGGATGGGAAAGAAACGGCTCAGATTTGACGCTGAACGCCGCCAAGTCTGAACCGTCGATCCACCGTGCGCTGTCAGTCTGCAGCTTTGACACCTGGACTAGGTGACCAAGACACGTCATCGTTGCGCGAGTCTGGTTTCATTAGTCTCTATTTCTTCTCTGTGTCTATCTCTACAACTAAAACATATGGATGGTTAATGTCTGTCCGGCAACACCAAACACCCCTCGACACAGGTTCACCCGGCAGCACCAAAAACTTTCCATATAATCGCTTCCCTACCGGCACAATTAAAGGAAAGAAACCCAAAATGCCTCCGATTTTTTTCACTGTGCATGCGAAGAAACTATGGCTGCGGCGGAGGAAAAAAAAGTCCACTAGAAGTTTGTGGGCTGTAGCAGTTCAGTATGGAAGGCAATGCCATGCTTGAGGAGGGAAAAAGAAAATGAATATGGAAGACAATGCTGTGATTGACTGATTGAGGACGAAAAAAAAATTAATCGGAATCGTCCCAATCATCTACAGATGCCTCTTTGAACCATGCCATCGCCCCTCTCTCTTGGCCCCTCCTGCGGCGCGGCGCCACCGCCTTTAGAGGAATCGTCTGTGTACGGACATCGTGGCCCCGCTCCCCCAATCGATTCCTTCCCCTACTACACTGGGATGGGCGTCAAGCGGCCATCGGTAAGAGACATGCCTCCTCCTCTGAATCAGCCGCTACCACTACTGTTGTCGCCGGCGATGACGATGCCTCTCACCCTCACGTTGTTCTTTAACTACAGTAGTCATCCATCTCTTTATGTTGGACACCTCATCTCTAGGTCTGTCTCGCCTTTGCTGTCGCCATGATTCCTCTTACATCCGTTGTAAAGAGCGATTTGTTCTAAGATTTGCTGGTTCTTGTGGATTTATTTGTTCGGATTTATTTATTGCATTCAAGTGATGGTATGATGGTGGAGCCACGATTTTGGTCCATGAATATGTATATTATTGGTCTTACCTTTGGTGTGTGAACCATTAGATATATTATGTATGCAAAAATGAGAGGATTGTGGGACATGGATGTGTGTATTATTAGTCTTACTTTTGCATCGTGGTCTCAAATTTTTAAGAAAAAATGGGTGATATGGCTAGGTGCCCAATCAGTCCCAACTTGGAGGAACCTGGTCAGGCTTGAACGACCTAATCAACTCCTATAAAAAAAATGATGAATGGCAACAAATAGAATGATGAGAAGATTATGTTACACTTAAGCACATCAATTTAATGGCAACAAATAGAATGACGTGAAGATTATTACACTCAAACACATCAATTTTAGGTAATTATGACACTTGTAAACTTAAATCATTATAGTCTAATTTTTTTTCCAATGCAACACACGGGCAGCCCTAGTCTCTAGAAGAAAAATCCTGGTTTATGGATGACTGGAGGGCCCACCACACAGAAGGTTCACAGAGACCCCTACCCCACATGCCAGAGACTACTGGAACGCCATCAAAGGCAGCCGCGCCAGGTGTCACGCAACGGGAGCACTCCCGTCGACAATCCAACGGTTCAGGATTATGATGGCCCACATGTCATAGAACCCTCTCGCAACGTCAAGCCGCTTCGTGCGCCTGTCCCGTCGTTTCTTTCCTCTCGCTTCCACGCTCTTCTAGACTCCCGGCGAACACTCCACTCCGCCTTCTTATGCTCACCGCCCTCCGCCGCCGAGGCACACAGTTCAAGCACAAACACTAGCCGAAGCAAAAGCCATTCCACAAAGCACCTGGTGATATATCATCTCACCATCAGAAACCAAGAGAGAGATTTCGTCCCTGCTTGTTGTAGTAGATTGTGAGGAGTAGCAAAGAGCAGCAACCATGAATCCGGACAACTTCACCCACAAGACGAACGAGGCGCTGGTGGCGGCGCACGAGATGGCGTCGGAGGCCGGCCACGCGCAGCTCACGCCGCTGCACCTGGCCGCGGCGCTGGCGGCGGACAAGGGCGGCATCCTGCGGCAGGCCATCACGGGGGCGTCGGGCGGCGACGGGGCGGCCGGGGACTCGTTCGAGCGCGTGCTGAGCAACGCGCTCAAGAAGCTGCCGTCGCAGTCCCCGCCGCCGGACTCCGTCCCGGCGTCCACGGCGCTGATCAAGGCCATCCGCCGCGCGCAGTCCGCGCAGAAGAAGCGAGGGGACTCGCACCTCGCCGTCGACCAGCTGCTGCTCGGCCTGCTCGAGGACTCGCAGATCTCCGACTGCCTCAAGGAGGCCGGCGTGTCCGCGGCGCGGGTGCGCGCCGAGCTCGAGAAGCTCCGCGGCGGGGAGGGGCGCCGCGTGGAGTCCGCGTCCGGGGACACCAACTTCCAGGCGCTCAAGACGTACGGCCGCGACCTCGTCGAGCAGGCTGGGAAGCTGGACCCCGTCATCGGCCGCGACGAGGAGATCCGCCGCGTGGTGCGCATCCTCTCGCGCCGCACCAAGAACAATCCCGTCCTCATCGGCGAGCCCGGCGTGGGCAAGACGGCGGTCGTGGAGGGCCTCGCGCAGCGCATCGTCCGCGGCGACGTTCCCAGCAACCTACTTGACGTGCGCCTCATCGCGCTCGACATGGGCGCGCTCGTCGCGGGCGCCAAGTACCGCGGCGAGTTCGAGGAACGGCTCAAGTCCGTGCTCAAGGAGGTGGAGGAGGCCGAGGGGAAGGTCATTCTCTTCATCGACGAGATACACCTCGTCCTGGGCGCGGGCAGGACGGAGGGTTCCATGGACGCGGCCAACCTGTTCAAGCCGATGCTGGCGAGGGGTCAGCTCCGGTGCATCGGCGCCACCACGCTGGAGGAGTACCGCAAGTACGTGGAGAAGGACGCGGCGTTCGAGCGGCGGTTCCAGCAGGTGTTCGTCGCGGAGCCGAGCGTGCCCGACACGATCAGCATTCTCAGGGGGCTCAAGGAGAAGTACGAGGGGCACCATGGTGTGAGGATCCAGGACCGCGCCCTCGTCGCCGCCGCGCAGCTCTCCGCGAGGTACATCATGGGTCGGCACCTGCCTGATAAAGCCATAGACTTGGTGGACGAGGCCTGCGCCAATGTCAGGGTGCAGCTCGACAGCCAGCCGGAGGAGATTGATAACCTCGAGAGGAAGAGAATCCAGCTTGAAGTTGAGCTGCACGCGCTCGAAAAGGAGAAGGACAAGGCCAGCAAAGCCCGACTGGTTGAGGTGCGTATCTCGATCACTGAATTTTCAGAGTAAGGCTAACAAATCCTCTTGTCTGATGTTCTGTTTTGATACTGATGTTGCTTAACTGTGGCCATTGTTCAGGTCAAGAAGGAATTGGACGATCTGAGGGACAAGCTGCAGCCCCTGACCATGAAGTACAGGAAGGAGAAGGAGAGGATCGATGAGATCAGGAAGCTGAAGCAGCGCCGCGAGGAGCTGCAGTTCACCCTGCAGGAAGCTGAGCGCCGGATGGACCTGGCCCGTGTGGCCGACCTCAAGTACGGTGCCCTCCAGGAGATCGACGCCGCGATCTCCAAGCTGGAGAGCGAAACAGGGGAGAACCTGATGCTCACTGAAACCGTCGGCCCTGAACAAATTGCAGAGGTATGTTCATGTTCACCGCCGCAGAAATTTCTAGAGCAATGCCGGATTGCCGATCGTCTCTTGGTAGTGTAGTCGTGCAGCGTGCTGAAATGGTGTCTTTTGCTATGAGCAGGTGGTGAGCCGGTGGACCGGTATTCCGGTGACCCGGCTTGGCCAGAACGACAAGGAGAGGCTGGTCGGCCTGGCTGACAGGCTTCACCAGAGGGTGGTCGGCCAGACGGAGGCGGTGAACGCCGTCGCAGAGGCGGTGCTGAGGTCAAGGGCCGGTCTTGGCAGGCCACAGCAGCCCACCGGCTCGTTCCTCTTCCTGGGTCCGACCGGTGTGGGCAAGACCGAGCTGGCCAAGGCCCTTGCCGAGCAACTGTTCGACGACGAGAACCTGCTTGTCCGCATCGACATGTCCGAGTACATGGAGCAGCACTCGGTTGCTCGCCTTATCGGAGCGCCACCTGGGTAAGTAGCAGAAAATGCATGCATCTGTAGTATTTTCACTTATCGGATGAACTCGTTTTCTGACATGGAATGGAATTTGTTTTTGGTTTGTGACTGAAGCTACGTCGGCCATGAAGAAGGTGGGCAGCTGACTGAACAAGTGAGGAGGCGGCCGTACAGCGTGATCCTCTTCGATGAGGTGGAGAAGGCGCATGTCGCCGTGTTCAACACCCTGCTCCAGGTCCTCGACGACGGCAGGCTGACGGACGGGCAAGGCAGGACGGTGGACTTCAGGAACACCGTGATCATCATGACATCGAACCTCGGCGCCGAGCACCTCCTCGCCGGGATGGTGGGCAAGAATTCTATGAAGGTCGCTCGCGATCTGGTCATGCAGGAGGTATGCAACACGATACATCCAGAACTATCCATCCATGTGTTCGAAATTGTTCCTCTTATCTGCAATGTGATGCTCAAATGGGAGCCGTTTGGTGTGTGCAGGTGAGGAGGCACTTCCGCCCTGAGCTGCTGAACCGGCTCGACGAGATCGTGATCTTCGATCCTCTGTCCCACGAGCAGCTGAGGAAGGTCGCTCGCCTTCAGATGAAGGACGTGGCCGTCCGCCTTGCCGAGAGGAGCATCGCTCTGGCCGTGACCGACGCCGCATTGGACATCATCTT